TTACATATTAAGGCACAAAAAAAAAAAAAATTAGGAGCCTATAATTTAGTCGAGGTCATAATGCGTGCAACTAAGTCCCTCGTTCAAAACTCCAGGGCAAGAAGCCCATAGATCCAAAGGCGGAAAAATGCATTTTCCGAAATGAATTCAGCAGTCAACGAGACAGCGTCCGATGGTAAGTAGAAAGTGCAAAAAGTGTAAAAAGTGAGCTCGTCCCCTAAAACAACCCGTTAAAAGGGAGGAGCGCCGGACTGCCAAGTTGGCGCAACCCATTTTTTCGCCGAAAAGTTGAAAATAGTTGCAACCACAGCATACCCTCATGTTATCAAACTCGCCAAAACCACTATTTTGAAACCTCAACGGAAAATCTATGTCGCCAAACCCTCGCCAAATAACCACCACCTGCGACCGGGGGAGATTAGGAATTTCAACAACCCTGCAAGGGTCCCAACGAAAGAACGCTGAAAACTCGCAAAAAGTGACTTTTCAACCGGAAAGAAGGCATTTCATCCCCCTTTAACTAAATCACAAGCGAAACGAAGAAAATCTACTAATTAAAGCTCATAACTGAAATGCAATTAAAGTTAGAAAAATGAAAGTTATGCCAAATTAAAGAGCTAATTTTTCTGCAACTAATGATATTAAATACTAAGAAAACAAATTAATTTTTGACATGAAAAACTGAGTTTATTACGTAGAAACAAAAATACTTATCTATTGTTTGCGTGTACAAGATTGAAGACGCAGTTCGCGTAAACTCGGAAAGCCAAAATATATTACACTAGAATTAATAGGCCCAAAAAGAATATAACCAAACTTGTGTAGCTCAAATTTTGAATAATTACAACTTAAAATTTTGATTTTTATGAATCACTTAATTAAATTAAATTCGCTACACAACATAGACGATATTTGTGGAGGTGGGAAACTTTCATTAAAAGTCGATATCATTTTGCTTGTCATGGCTGTCAGAATTACAAATCATAACTAATATATTTCCATTAAATTATTCAGAAAATATTTTAGCTATACTTAAGGTGCTTTTTATATGCATAGACACTGATCAACTAATATGGTTCTTATACATGCTTTCACTAATAACAAGTCAAGATGTTTTTCAGAAGATCAAAGTATTTTAAGTGTATTAAATACACAAATGCAAACTGTTTGTGCAGACGATATTTGTGGAGGTGGGAAACTTTCATTAAAAGTCGATATCATTTTGCTTGTCATGGCTGTCAGAATTACAAATCATAACTAATATATTTCCATTAAATTATTCAGAAAATATTTTAGCTATACTTAAGGTGCTTTTTATATGCATAGACACTGATCAACTAATATGGTTCTTATACATGCTTTCACTAATAACAAGTCAAGATGTTTTTCAGAAGATCAAAGTATTTTAAGTGTATTAAATATAAACTTCATGAAAAAGTTAAATTTCACAATTAATTCCAAAACGATTAGCATAAAAACATTACAAAACAACATATACGATTTTTAAAAATAAGCATTTTTTATGTAAACTTTTGCTAAAACCCAATACATATAGTTAAAAATACAACCTTTAATATTTATTGTAGAATTATTATGTGTGAGAAGCACACTACACTTCAACTTTTTTCTGGTAGGAGTTCCGGTTCTGTGGATTATTTGTTTTGCATTTGGATTACTTGTTTTGCATATGGTGGAGATCCCCAATGGGTAATTATCTACAGACATTGCAGAGTCATATTTAGTGTTTCAAGCAGCTCTTTCCCACTTGCAGCTGTTCTAAATCATACTCTAAATCACTCACAGGAGCATTTGAAAAGTCTCGCATTAAACTGAGTTATCTTATGTGAATAACTGTTGCAAGTGTTCACTCTGTTGCTGACTTGGACTTTCCAAAAAGAATTTGAGAAAATTCTAAAAGCAGCTAAATTTGGATTTACATGGATGGATAAATAATTACCTTCCTGAGATAGTTGATAGAAACTGAAAAGAACGATGAACCAATTACTGAAAATTCTGTCTAAAGTGTACCAATTGTTTGATCCCATAGGTTTCACTTGACCAGCAACATTAATTCCTAAATTTCTCCTACAAGAATGCTCGAAGTTGGGGATCTTATGGATTTTAAATTATTGAAGGGTATAATTAAAAGATTTAAAAAGTGGAAGATCAGTTACTCGAACTGAAAATCCTTCAAGTACCTCGCAGACTGCCTGATTTAGATCTCAGCGAATTCAACATAACATTGCATACATTTTGTTTCTAAATCTCGATATGCGACTTGTATTTTACTTAGAGCAGAAAAGGAGAGAACATTAACTTGTTAATTAATTAATACATCTATAGTATTACAAAGATTGCTCATTTGAAAGCTTTATCGATTTCAAGAATGGAAATGCTCATATGCTTTACTGGGGCTCAATCAGTCAGTCTACTAGTCTGATTCTATGAATGTACTGTATTGGATCTAAAGAGACCACTGACAAACTTTTGTATCTAACTATTTAAATGAAATTAGAACTCTAGCAGAATCCAGTGCATAGAAGTTTGTTCCCAGAATTCTAAATACTCTAGACATACCTTTCACAAGGTTGCTAGATAGAAGTCCAGCTAAAGAAACAAAGGCACATAGGAGCTCTAGAGATTCCAGAGAAAAGTGGACAGATTATGAACTGTCACCCAAGGAGGATGTGGTAAATGTGGAAAAGAAGAAACTATAGAGTCGTACCTGAATCACAGAAATGATGAAAATTATACCACATATCTTCCTACTACAGAATAATCAAGTTACTATCTGGATATATTGATTTTATAGAATTTCTAAAACACTTAATAAGAAATTTAGAGAATTATCCGCTGAGGAACTTATAGAAGCTGAATTTATAGTTTTGAAAAAAGTTCAAGAATGCTACACAGTGGGAAAACTGAGCATTTAAAATCATCGTCAACATTTAAACACATAAATGGAATTTTGAAAATTAAAACAAAACTCGTTTAGAGAGATGACAATGAAAATTTTAAAGTTCTGATTGTTCTACCATCTGATCCTCATGCCTAATTTTATTTAAACATCAAGAGAATGGGCACTGTGGAGTACAGTTGTTAATGGTGGCTTTGAAAGAAAATTATTAGATATAGAAAAGCAGATGAACTATAAGAACAATAATCAAAACTTGTACTGTTTGTCAAAGATGTCAGAGTTAAGCCCCCTGAAATTCAGTAGGAATTCTTCCTAAAGACCACAAAAATAAATGACTGCATTTCTGAAATTATAGCAGTGGATGCGGCAGGTCCATTATACTGAAAGAAAGCATGAAAGTATGGATTTTGATTTTAATCTGTGCAGTTTATAGAGCAGTACATTTAGAACTTCTGACTTCTCTATCAACAGTTAATTTCTTATTGGTACTTAGGAGATTCATAGCTCATCGAGATCACCCTTGAATAATATATTCAGATAATACAATTAACTTTAACGAAACAAAATATTTATTGAAAAATAACATACAATAACAATCTAAAAATGGCATACAAACAATATTTAAAAAAAATATATACAATAACAATCTAAAAGATTTAAAACATGTTTTTAAATCTTCCTAAAATCTTAAATGTGTTTAAAGATTTTAAATATGTTGTTAAACAACATCTGTTTTTACTATTATTGGAAATTCATTCTTCTCGCGGCTCCGTGGTGTGGTGGATTTGGAGAGAGGTTAATTGGTCTTCTAAAAAGAATTCTGAAAAAGGTTTTAGGACAAGTATTTTGAAACTATCGAGAGATGGAAACTGTTTTCAGTGAGAGTCAACGAAATGCAACTAATACTCTAACCTATGTCAGTGAAGATCCAGAGGACAAACCCATTAACAACTGATTTATTTTTGAAAAATAAAAATGAACTAAGTAGTACAAATTATTTTAATCAGATAAAAACTGTTAAGAAGGGCTTGAAAAATGATTAATTTACAGAAGAAATCTGATGACAGATCTTCGAATCACGTTTTAAAACGAATACTTGAGGCAACTGCACCAGAGAACAACAGCTGAAAACAGAATTTGTGTCTTTAGGAATATTATCAATCTAGTGAATATTATCAAAACATAGTGGCTAGAGCTGTCAAAATTAAAACTAATTAGGGTTTATGACTAGACACATCAAAAGTCTGAGTTCTCTAGAATAGATGGTGAGATCCATATATCCAGCAAGGAGAATGTTAAGGGCTGTTCCCACTGGAGTTTATCTGAGGTAACGGAGTCAGTTCCATGTGTCGACTAGCTTCGCTATGCCTGCAGTTCAGATTTTTCAACTTGCTGCCCTATGGGAAAAATCTGGTTTTGGAGGTGGGTCAGCTATGTCAGCTGTTTCTGTCAGCTCAGATAAACCCCAGTGGGAACAGCCCTTTACAGTAATAAAGAACCTCCTGAAAGCCAAGGCAGTCCTGATTACCACACTATCACAATTACAACTGCATGTGTTGTTCAACCTCCCTCAAGATAATGGATAAGAGGTGCTGAGTGGTTTAATGGTTTAATATTCCCACAACTGAAAAAGATGAGCATTAAAAACTACTGCAGAATTATGCGCAGGAAGCATGCTACACAACTTTCGCCTGGCAGGAGTTTCAAGTTTTTAGACTTTTGAAATACGAGGAGAGAGAAAGGAATGTTTGCTTGAAGGGGATGCAGATAAATATATACTCAGTGTTAAGGCTAATTTTGTAACTTGTTATTAATGTTATGTTTAATATATTTAGCATTCAACAATATACGGCCTCTTTATTCTTTGGATTACTAGTTCCGCATTCCAATTATACATTTAAGATGAATAGTTACCCCAGGAAGAAAATGTAAGCTAAATTTTGACATTTCTATAATAAAGAGGGTCTGTCTCTGACGAAATAAAAAATTAAGAAGCTAATCTTTCAACAAATATATAAATCATTCTCTTTGATAAAAAATTAATATAATATTATATAATGAGTAAGTTAAAATTATTACTAACATTGGAACTGGATCCTCTATGGTACAACAAAATGTTATCATTGCTTGAAGGCAGCTTAATATGTAATTTACTTGACACATAGAAAATACCAGTCTGTTATATTTTATTAAAGTTGTCACAGCAATCAGTGATTCCTGTAAAAAAAAAGTTTTAAAAAATTGCTTTTTATAAAAAAATTAAGACAAAAATTTACTTCTAAATTATTTTATATTTCTTAAAAATTCACATAGAAAAGAAAAACAGAAACCTACTTACAGTTTAACTATTTAAATCAAGCAATAAAATTTTTAGGCAATAACAGATTATAATTATTATTAAGTTTATAAAAATAACTACTATATATATCCAACTCACCTTTTTTAGTACTATATCTCCCAGTTCTATCTGTACACAATATATCTTGCACAAATTGTTACACTGATCTGGGAGGAACTGTGTAATGTCACTTGTTAACTTTCCCATGATAGAACTATAAAATGAATTTTAATAAAAGTAAGAAAAATGTAGTTACATTTAAATAATTACTGCTAACACAACACAGACGTTTTTGCCAGTGACATACCACTCAAACTTCATTGCACAAAACAACTTTACAAATCAGTCAATTTAAACAACAAAAATAGGCAATATTTTAATATTCATTTATTACTGATTTCAATAAGAGATTGGGTGTATTTTGAGACAGAATGATCTGTACCTTTAGGAACTATTAAATCTATATAAATTCTCTAATGTTAATTCTAATTCTTCATATAGCTAAGCAATGTTGAAATGTTTATATGTGAAAAACAAAAGAAGGATTAAATAGAGTAATATATTATGAGGCTACTGTAGAACTATCAACACAAGAAGTAAGCATTAGTGCAAATTTATAAAAACCATTTCACAACTTAAACAGAATGCTGGTTTTCACTTTAAACACAATGAGCACGAGTTTGTTTACATCATGCATCTTTAACTGAGTAAACCAGGAGAAAAATAAGATCAGGATCTCAAAAACGCTTGACATTCTTGACATACAAGAGACTCTTGAGATAAATGATTGGAATTAAGCTTTTTAATTTTTAAAAAAAGATATTTTTTTTAATGTGGAGGGCATCAAATTAAGGAAATTTAAGTCACCAGTTTAAATTTTCTGCATAATTTTGAAGAAAACATAAAAGGATGCTAAAGATAGTGATAGTGACTAACAATGAAAAAATAATTAATTTGTATTTTTCTTTTTATATTTCATTTATGATTTAATATGATAATTCAGAGCTCTGTTAGTTATCAGATGTATGTTAAACCACACCAACAAAGGAAGTTAATAAGAGAAGAAATCCTTTAGCTTAACACTACAGGTAAATTCTATTAAATCAATCACATTTTTTCAGCAAATAGGAAACTGCATACCTTCTCTATAATCTCCAAATTATTTTATTAATTATTTTCTGTTCATTAGACACATGCAAAACTTACAATTATTATATGGGGTTCTTGTAGCTACAGAAATTCCTTTTCTTTTGAATGAAGCATAAGCAAAAATATAAAGGTGAAAAAGGGAGTATGATCCTTAAAGCAAAACCACCACTCCAAGGAAAAAAAAAAACTTTAGATAAGACTATAAACTTTTATCAAAAATCATTATTTTTATTTTTCATAACAGAGCTTATAGAATGTATTTTAAAACACAAGCACAAAAGATTAATAAAAGTGTGACTCTTTTATTTCAGAAATGGTTAAAGCCTGCTTTTCAAAGTCGATTAAAAATTCTTAATTTTTCAAAGTCAAATTATTAAAATAGAGTTCTTATTGGTACAACTTAAAATGCACCAAAAAAGAAAATTACAGAGGATTAAAGTTTTTTAATAATATTTTTGATGTGTTTGCACTAAAATAAAATGGGATAATTATTAAATAAAAATAAAAAATTGTAAATCCTGTTTAAAATTAAGATAATTTTTTAATTTTATGATAAAGTCATTAATAACTTAAGTTTGACTACTGCAAAAATCTTTGTACCAGGGAAAGCAGCCACAGAAATACAATTCATATTTTTTTCGCTTGAAATATAAATGATTATTAAGATTGTCTAAAAAGATTTAAAGATTCCCAGAATTATGTAGTTCCTAAATGTGTTCAAAACATCAAATCTACAAATGAAAATCATTATTTAAATCACACAATTTTTTTAACTAAAGGGATGGACATTATATTATCAGAGAAAATAAACTGCTTTCAAAATACCTAATTTAATAATAATTATCAGGCTATTAGCCTTACTCTAAAAGAATGAATACCTGATGTAAAAAATTAGGAAGAAACAAATCACAAAAGACCTCCAAATAATAGCATATTTAAGTGAAAAGCCTTAGAGGCACGCCCAGAACTTTCATACAAAAAAGAAAAACAAGAAACTTTACCTTAGATTCCTCCCTCACAAGTTCTCGCTTGTTTTATTAAAATGCCAGGAATACTAGATTTTTTTTTAAAGGTGTGAACTTGCTGAAAATCTTAACGAGTCAAATTTCCTTATTTCCCTCACCCTCTTTTTGCCTGTCCTTTCAATTTCTACTCAAAATTGGCAATGTTAAAAAACTCCATATTTTTAGAGGTTGTCAGAAAAGTTACCACAGGGATAACTGGCTTGTGGTAGCCAAGCATTCATAACAATGTTGCTTTCTGATCATTCAAATGTCAGCTCTTCCTATCATTGCGAATTAGAATTCAGAGCACTGAATTGTTTCACTCACTAACAAGGAACGTGAACAATGTTTAGACCACTGTAAGACAAACTCATGATACCCAACTATCACAGAACTCAAAATACCACAGGATATGATGAATTCGTAAAGAAATATTTTATTAAAATTACTTTAAATGCACTATTTTCAATGGGTAATACAATTAATTACTTTATCAAACACAGAATCAAGCTCTTTTACCCTAATTTTCCAATCTCGACGGCAAGCAGTTTGCAGTTGTACTCTACAGGAATTATCTCCATTTTTTAAAATATTTAATATCCAAATGGGATAAAGCATTGCCAGTGACATATAACTCCAATGATACAATAAATTCCAATAAGATAATATTTAAAACTCCAATAACATAACAGTTGCTACATGTATAACTAGTCTGAATGTACCAAATAAAAAGTATTTACTTATGTTTTCTTCCCACACAGAGGAAAATAGAATACAGTACAAAGTTTGTAATTCGGACGCCCATTATCCGGAATGATCTATAATCTGGACCTCAAAGCCACAAACTTTTTTTTTTGTATGCTTTACCCATGCGCATAATGCGTTTAAGCATGCGAGTTAATGCGCGTTTATACAGGCACGTTATTGCACATTGGGAGGATGTGTCTCCAGATACGTTAAAAAATGCTTGGCATAATTTATGGCCAGCTACCATATTTCATGGTGAGGATGATGAAGATGATTGCCGCAAATTTGAAGGTTTTCGGACATCGCAAACTAGAGGTGAAATTTTCCAGTCATTGGATTTTGTAAAGAAATGTAGAGAAGCGGTAATAAATAAAGAAGATATAACAGAAGTTTTTCATTGCGACGACAATGCCTCAATCATCAATCAATTAACGGACGGCGAAATCTGTAGTATGGTTCTAGATCCATAAAATACTGCTTCCGATATTGAAGAAAGTGACAGAGAGGTTATTGAAAACAAAAAAATTTCGATTGACAAGTTAGTCGGTATTTTCGACACAGCAATTACAGGACTTGAACAGTGGAACTTTGTAACTGAACAAGAAATTATGTCTGTTTATAGAATTAAAGACAAAGTATTAGCACAAAACAAGAAGCAACTTAAACAACTCACATTGAAAGAAATGTTTAATAATGTAAACAAATAAATATTAAGCTTTTTTTGTAAATTTTGATACCCTTTAGATCCTAATTGCTCTTTAGTTCATAAATTACGGTTTAATATTTTTAACTGTATAATTTCTGCATGCCATCTTACCAAATTTAAATTGATGATCTATAATCTGGAAAAACCCCTAATTCGGAATCATCGAAGTTCTGACAAGTCCGTATTACGGACTTTGTACTGTAATTTTTTTTTTTTTTTTTGGGTTGTTGTTGTTGCTGTTGTTTGTTTGTTACTGTATTGAAACACATACCTGAAAATTTCCTACCATGTAAAGACTTTTTTGTCAGTCAACATTTACAGGAATGCTTGTAAATATATATGTGCATTAAAAAAGAATATATTATATAAAACACTGAAGTACTTTATGGAAACAATTTTGATAATTAATTTTTATGCATAAAGAGCACATTTCTTGTAGCCATTTGCTTCTGCCTGATAGCCTTGATTATTGGACATACCTCTGGATTGAATTTTCCACGACAATAAACTATTTCTTAGCACTACCAAATAAATTTCATGCTATTTCTATTGGGTCATTTTCCAAAGTCTAACAAACTGAAAACACAAAAGGTCTACAGAAGTAGTGTCACTTGATTTTGCAAGTATTTCCTTTAATTGGATATATTTTATTCCTGTTTCTGATCATTTCTTTGCTAAATAGATGGCAAATGACTTAGCTGTATCATTAGGGACTTTGTCTATATGTAGCTCAATTTTATTGATGGCCTTTCCATATAAGGCTGGAATTCTTCAAAAATTGGTTCTAAAATATTCTGAAAAGGTACAATGAATTAGTTTTAGCCTTACTTAAGATTTTTTCAGTTTTAATTCAGCACTGTAACAAAAACCTGCAACTACCATGAATCTATCAGAAACTTTTTTGTAGCTTGATGAAGCTATTTAGTATAGTTATTTTTATCAGTCGAGCAACACATAATTTATCTTTTTTTATTATAGTAACTTAAATATACTCATGTCTCATCGAATGTAACCACAAATTTCCATTTATCAGCAGCTACCTTTTTGTCATATAATTTTCTACAATTTGTGTTTGCTTTTGCAATATGTTTTGGCAAAACCAGATAAACTTTAGATTTAAATATCTTTTTTAATTAAAAATTTTTATGAATGACTTTACATACAGTGCCAGAAGACATTCTCAATTTCAATACAACGGATCTTTGAGTCAGTGGATTTTCATTAAGGATTGTCTGGACATTTTTTCATTTTTACCTTCAAATGGGCATTTTTCCTCTTTCAAATTTAATATATTAAAAATATATTTTCTTGAAATGCTACAACATCCATTTTTACATCACTTTAATAGTTTAACGATACAAATAATTTTTCTTGGAAAGTGCACTTATGTAATCGTCAAGCTATCTATTGATTTTAAGAGCCATTTCTAAAATAAATATCTCACTCTACACTGCAATCATGACAACACAATAGCAAACAGTTATAAAAAGTTTTAAAATGATAATAAGGAAATTTAAATAGAAAATCATTTACATAAAGTGAGAACAACCTTCTGTATATAATAGTCTGCTGGAACATCTATCTACAGAGATGAAGTCAAATACAGGGGGAAAAATTGCACACTTTCAGATGTATGCTGGAAGATTTCGTAATGTAATGTAAATGATTTTGATTTGCTTTTTTAACATTAAAAATTTCAACACAAAAGCATTCATTGTGCTCTTAACTCTGAAATTGGCAAAGAAGTCTATGCAGTTACAGAATCTGTGAATCCTTAAAAATTCCCTCACACGACTTCATACACTGGCAAATTCAAACCACTGGCAGTCTTTTGCTTCTCCATCCCTGCAAATTTTTGTCATTCTTGCAGGAGTATCTTCTAGGCTTTCCAACTGGATTAAAAAAAAAAAAAAAAACAACTGAACTTATGATCTAACACTAATTTTACAACTGGTAGTTTAGAAAAAAATCCCCTGATTTGATTTCATCATTGCTTTTGTCAAGAAATTTGTTTTTCAAGTACATGAATTTTTTTCTATTTGTATGCGATGCCTTAAAAAAGCTCTTCATGAAGTCTTAATTCATGAAGTCTTAATTAACTTAGTTAGCAATGCTTGTTTTCACAAATGTTTTGTACTCTTAATAATTTTCTGCCCCTCCAGTTCAACAAAGAAAATAGTAATATTTTGCATAGTCTAGTTGAATGTCTATTGAAAATAACAATTATTTTTAAATTATCACAAATATTTCACTTATATGTTTAATGTTAAGAATCTTTTGCAGCAGAATTTTAAAATTTTATTGGTTTCTTTCACAACGACAATGAAAGATAAAAGAAATGTTGTAAATTTTTCTCTGTTAATACTTTTTAGAGGAGTGGGTATTAATAGACTGGAAACTGCAAATAAACCGTAAGAGCACAAAAACATAAAAATGCCTCATAAATAGAAATAAAAGCATTTCTCAAAATTTGACCTTCAGTATGTTTACAGATATATCTTAAAATCAGACATCATTTGAAAATTCCCTTACCATAAATTTACCTGCATATCTAAAATCAGCATACATAAATATATATTAAAGATAGTTATAGATAAACAGATATATAGATAGATAGAAAACAAACCTAATTTATTACTTCCTTGTACAAGGTAAAGGAAGTATAGTATTCACGAAAAACTCAAAATATTTCAATGAAAATATCCAATTTGACTGCTACTGAATGCAACTTAATAATGTTTTTGTGTGACATCTGTACGTAAGGACAGAATAAATGACTTTTTCCTAAAACGAATTATAAAACTGAATTAAAATGGATTCAAAAGAGATTTTTCGTGCCATCTGTACGTACATACATATCTCACACAACTCAAAAATGAGTAGAGCGTAGACTCAGAATGTTAAAATTTTGTAAAGTTTGTAGTTGCGCACCTCCCTTTTTGGTTGCAATCAGCCACACCAAAACTATATAAATAAAGATGTAAAATATAAAAAATACGATGGCTTTGCTCTATGCAAACAGGCAATCTCTAAGCAATTTTCTGCAATTTCAGGATCTTTTGCCTTCGTGCCATTTTTTGTCAGATTGCTTTTCTTTTCCTGCTGCTTAAAAACTTTACTGCCGCTCTTCCCGTCTTTCTTTCTTTGAATAGAATGATGCAGAAAACTTAATCCTAAGTTAATCCTAAGTCTGAATTACTATCGTGTATGTAATCTTGAAGAATCTAAAAGAATAATGATTTGCCATTTGAATTCAATAAAGATGTGGAATCAAAACAGCTAAATTCTTCTGTGTCATCATTTCATGCCAAGCTTCATGTGAGTGCCTAACTGACAAAATATTATACCGGGTGGCCATAATTAAACTGACAGTGCTCACAGTGTTCTGTAGCGCGATCTATTTGCGAGAATGACGCCACATTTTGTAGGAAGATTAAACAAGACGGGGGACAAAGGATTCTGCGAAAAAACAAATTAGTTCCAAAAGTCACTGCTAGGGAAATATTTGGCGCTGTGTAATAGAAAGTAAGAGTGTTAACAAATGCAAAACAATACGGAAATTACTTTTTATTTTGCATTCAAATGAGGTTCAATGTGGCTGCCGTTGTTGTGGACCACATATAGCATTCTGTGCACAGTATGCACAACAGTAGAATGTAACATGTCTGCAGGAATCTCCCGTACAGTCCGTGATATGTTATCCTTCAACGTAGCCAGGTCCTGAACCACTCCTTGATAGACCTTGGACTTAAGGTAACCCCATAGTCAGAAGTCGCATGGGGTAAGATCAGGCGACCGAGGTGGCCATGCAGTTGGAAAGTAGCGGCTAATGACTCTTTCTGTTGTGAATTTCTGTCGTAGCATCTGTTGCACCCATACAGCAACGTCTGAAGGGGCTCCATCTTGCACGAAAATGATTTCCCCCAGGCATTGTCTTTGCTGAAGTGCCGGAATGACAAAGATGTTCAACATGTGGCGATATTTCTCTCCGGTAACAGAACAGGTTCCGGTCCTGTCGGGGTAATGTTCTCATAGAAGAATGGACCTACGATAAATTCTGCTGTGAACCCACATCAAACAGTTATCTTTGGTGAATGTAAGGGAATTGCTGTGACTGCATGTGGTGGTTTGTCATTCCAAATTCGGCAGTTCTGGGTATTCACAGTTCCATTCAGGTAAAAGTGGGCCTCGTCTCCCCATAAGATTTTCCACGGCCAAGCATCATCCACCTCCATTCTGGCAAGAAAGGTGAGAGCAAGAAAAGTCAATCGCTTATCATGGTCGGGGTACAGTAATTCCTGTACATGGCTGATCTTGTATGGATAGAAGTTGATAATCTTTCGTAAGATTTTTCATACTGTACTGTAAGGTATATCCATATTCCGAGCTACTCCACGAGCGCTAGAGGTGGAAGCAATATTGTCTAGTCCTCTGTCGACAATTGCCGTGGCAACTGCTTCGATTGTATCCTGTGGTACAGGTTTTCGTCTCAGCCTGACTGAACCTTCAGAGAACCTGTTTTCTCAAACGTTGCAACCATTGCTTTTAGCCCATTAACTGACACAGGACCGTTACCTATACGCATTTTTTTGTTCGTTCTAAAAGCACGAAGAGCGGCTGACGCGTTGCACTGGTTGAGGTAAACGAATTTGACCAGGAATGCACGCTCGACTAAAGAAGGAGACATTGCATATAAACTTTCAATTCGATTGATTCGAAACCTAACTTATTGCCTTTTAAAACCCAAGCAGCTGACACTGTGCGAATGCATGTAACGTGAAATTTGAATTAAGAACTTCTTCTTCTGCTCAGTGTACGTGATATTGCAGATCACGAGACTTCATGTTTATGTAGATTTTATGCTTTTTTTTAAAAGTGTTGCCATATTGCACTTGAACTAAATCAGAAAACGTGCATAATAAAAGGTAATTTTATTCCGTATTAATTTACATTTGTTAACACTCTATTTTCTATTACACAACGCCAAATGTTCCCCTAGTGGTGACCTTTGGAACTAACTTGTTTTTTCGCAGAATCCTTCGTCCCCCCTCTTGTTTAATCTTAATACAAAATGTGGCATCATTCTCGCAAATAGATCGAACTACAGAACACTGTGAGCACTGTCAGTTTAATTACAGCCACCCGGTATATATATATATATATATCCACTCTGTTACTTGGTTCAGTGAGCTCAGTTCTTTTATTCTTATATGTTGGTAAACTGTGACTTTTTGCTTTAAAAATGATTGAATTATGTTGCTTTGATCTTCCGGTCATGGTTTTTATGCCTTTAGTTAATCTGCATGCAATAGTTGTAGAATTACCATCAATTTAAAAGTTGTTTAAGAGTGGCTAAGCCTAATTTTTTTACCACAGCAGCCATATTTGTTTACATCTGAAACATTAATTAATACATAGTGAATTAATTCTTTCTGTACCTTCAGTGACTTTTTGACACGTGGGACCAAAAGGAAATTTTTAATTTCATGCACCAAAAAAATTTGCCTTCTCGTACGCTGACCGAATTGCTTCTTTTTGCGTAGAAACTTTAATTGTAGAAATTGTTTTTTTGTTTAATTGTTTTAACTGTATTTGGCGTTTTACATTTTTCTATCTTTCAATTTTTAATGAAGATATTTTGAGTTTTTATGTATTTTTGCCTTGTGGCAAAGTAAGAACTGAATTAATTGAATGAGAAATATATCTCACATGAAATTCAAGGAAATAAGTTTAAGTCAAATGCAGGAAAAAATGTGCATAATTTAATATTACATACAAGGAAATCATGTGGTGTCATCAGCTTTTTATGTAATAAAATCAGTGATATCATATCATTTATCATTTATTAATGGTAATGCGATGAAATTCATTAACATGATTAATGTTACAGCATGAAATATCTGATTGCACTCAAATACCATCATAAATATGCCATTACTATTTTTTATTTTTTATTTATTTATTTATTTTTTATTTTTTTATTTTTATTTTTTTTTCATAAACAGTTTTGTTTAGTAAATTTATACTTACGTTACTTTCTCCTGCAGTGTTTCACATTCCATAGGACTAGAAAACTGTATTTCAATAACAGTAAGATCCAATTCCTGAATTGCAAGGATTATCACATAAAACATTAATATATCATTACCTAAGGAACATTAACTTTTACATGATTAAATTTTAGGTTTACATTATGAACCTTAAAAATATCAATAAAAGAAATTGGGTACTTGTCTTCTGTAGCAACCTTGACAAGAGAGTGCATTTGGCATATTTCTGTATTGGCAAGAAAGAAATGGTTATCGATCTGCTCATGTGTAAGAAACAGTCACTAATCTGCACATGTGTGAGAAAGTTACCAATATGCATATGTGCAAGAAACAAACAGTTAACGATCTGTTTAGTAACTGCATTATGTTAAGATTGTTTTCATTGTAAACTCCTCTATTTTCAGGCTTTCATCTGTGGAGAAAAAGCTATATGTGATGTTTGGGGCATTAGTAGCAGCAATTTGCTGAATTGCGACCACCAGAAAGAGTCTGTAAGAAATAAAATTGCTGTTATGTTTATACATATGAATATATTTTAATGAAATGCTAACAAAATTGTATTAAATAAAATTTATCGGTGTGTTTAATAATAAAATAAAATTTTCTGATATGTTTATATAAGTTATTTTAAATGAATTGCTTAAATAATTGTATTATTAACAGTACAAAAAAGTCTCTCCATTTGACAAAAAATAGCACCACCAGTAAGTTATGGTTTAAACGCCCTCATGTAAAATGTCATATCGTAAGGCCGGACATATGCTAACAACATAACTTTAAATATTAACAATTTTGTATGAGCATCATATATTTTTTCATGCGAAAATGTTGAGTTTTGAGGCAAATGAGCCTCATTTACGGGAATGTTTGCTTTACTTCTTTAACTTGGAGAAATCTGCAGCTGAGGCACACCAGTTGCTTGTGGAAGCAAATGGTGAAGCTAAGTTAAGTAAGGCTGCCTTAAGTTAAAGAAGTTTTCATGAGTGGTTTCAAAAGTTTAAGAATGGTGAATTTGATATCAAAGAGAAAGAATGTATGGAGTTGAAGGCTGAAAGTGTATGAAGACATGGAAGCATTATTCGATGAAGATTCGTGCCAAATGTAGTAGAACTTGCACTAACATTAGGAATGACTCAACTAGCAATTTCACACCATTTAAAATCATTGGGCAAGGAAATTGGTTTCCATATGAATTGAAACCCAGAAACTTTCAACAGGATTTTTTTTTACATATGAAATGCTGCTTGCCAAGCAAAAACAAAAGGATTTTTTTGCATTGCATAGTCATTGGTGATGAAACATGGATCCACTAACGATAAAGAAAAGAAATCATGGGTACCACCTGGCCATGCTTCAACATCAACAACAAAGTTGAATACTCATGAAAAAAAAAAATGCTGTGGGATCCACTTGGTGTCATGTATTACGAGTTGCTGAAACTAAACAAAACCATTACTGGAACTCTCTCTACCATACACAACTGATGAGAATGAGCTGAGTACACAAAGAAAAATGTGCCTACTACTACTCCAGACATGACAAAATTATTCTACAGCCTGATAACGCTCATTCACATTTTGTGGCACCGATTGAAACCTACTCGGAAACACTCAGTTGAGAAGTTTCCCTCTCTCGCTGTATTCACCAGGAATTGCTCCTTCTGATTAGTACTTGTTTTGATTGATGACACATGGTCTGTCTGAGCAGTGCTTTACATCATATGAAGATACTAAAAATTGGGTTGATTTGTGGATGTCCTTGAAAGGTGAAGTGTTCTTCCAATGTGGTATCCATATACTGTCAAAAAGATGGTTTTCACAATAAATGCCCAATTTTTGATAAGTGGCAGAGACTTATTTGTACGCTCGATACCTACAATAACTAATGCATATATATTCCAATAATTAGTAAAAGTTTTATTGTATTATGTTGTTGTTTTAACTGCACACAAAACAGCATTAAGTACAAATTTATATTAAATACCTTTGCTACATATATATTAACTTGTGTTGTATACATATTTGAATTAATTGCCTATTTATCATTTACGGTAGTCAGATTTTTACATGGATGTTCATACCATTTGGCAAAAAATCTCACTTTCTTAGGTCCATATTTGTTTCTCTCACCAAAGCTGCTACAGAAGATAAATATCAGAAATTGTTATATTGCATACTATATTAAAAAAAGTCTACGGAATTTTTTGGGGAAAATTACCTCATTAGTTATAACTTTTTCTCTTTGAAAGTAATTTTTTATAGCAAAAGTAACATCATCATTTTCAGTAAACTGGTCGACAAACCCATTCAGTTCTATAAGAATAAAGGACAATCAATTTTTCAACAAAATTCAAAAGGTACTTTCTGATTATCCACATTTTATAGAAAAAATTTCATGAGGCAATGCACTGTCACCAAAATATGCAGACCATAACCCTACTAATATGCATTCATGTGGCAATCCAGATATGTGGGGCTGTGTAGGAGCAGCGCAGGACACTAATGTTTCTTTTGCATTGACAATTATAAATGTTTGTTTCTCTTGCACTGTATTCTTTATTTTGTAAGAAAAATGGGACTGTGGAGTTTGCCAATTGATGCAAAAGAAAGTGTTCCATTTCTTCAGATTTCTGATGGCATTTTGCCCAAAGTTATGAATGCAAAAATTCGCATTCCATGAAGTTATGCATCCTAAATGATCAAATCTTATGAATCAAATTTTGTGCACTGATGCCAAATTTGGGAAATTCTCTGATGCTTTTTTAAGCAAAAACAGATCACTGAGTGCATGGGGAAAATGATAGTTTGCACAGTACCAAGCTGCACATAATGCTGATATCTGCAATTCGCTGATGTTTTTTTAAACTGAAACAGATTGCTGTGTATACGAGAACAACATAAAAAGGGTAAGTGTTTTATTATACATATTTCTTGAATTTTTAATTTCATTGATTAGTTGCTGTTTTATGTAATTCTTAGTGTGCTACCATTTTTAAAATGGTTGCTGCTTTTCGCATTTTAGCTTGGTGAAAAATTAGTTATTGGTTTTTCACGAAGGAGGCACAGATAATCAGAAATTACCAAAAAATAATATAATGACTGAATATATTGTAATAAAAATTATATTTGAGATAAGCCACACTTATTTTTTTTTAAGAAATAGCAAAAAAATTTTGAAATTTATTATGAAAACAAATTATTTTTTTATTTGTTATGTACAAGATTTATCATTAATTAAAAAAAATATTAGGTAGCATTATGCTTTTCAGAAGAATGGCACTGAAACTAAGCTGTTAGAAATATTTCATCCTTTTACGAGAGTTAAAATTCTCAATTGAATCAAACTAATAATCTTTTTACATTCCTTCATTTCATTTCAAAATTTTTAGATGTAATTTATGATGGCAATGAGTACATCAAATTGAAACTCAGTATGCCAAATTGTAACTAATTATTTCTTGTATCAGTATAAATGTTCTGTTTCAGCTAAGTAGGTATTTTGGGGGGAGGGCATCTAAAATACAGAGCATCAATCTGGAATGAAGAAACATCTTTCGCATGCTCTTCTGTGTGCATTTAACAAAGGTTCCATAGATGTCTATATAGTACTGTAGAGTTCTTTAGCAAATTTATGCTGCATATGAAGAACATCCTACTGCTGAAAGAACAGCTTAAAAATAGTTTAAAAGGGCAATAATTAAAAAATTCCTGGGATTCTCAGAGTTTTCTAAATTTGATGATAGCTCAACATCTACAGTCAACTAATGCAATTCCATGCAGCAACTTCCCAGCTGCTCCTCCACAGCTAAACGGAAGTGACCAGAAATTATACAAATATTTTCTGTTTGCTGTTGCTAATGCATGATATCATTACTAAGCATGATACAAATTGAAATCTCCCATATCTGACAATATTACACAAACATTGAATAACTGAACCAATTATCAGTTGTTACATTATATGCAAAATTTTAGAAGCCAAATTATTTATTTATAAGACTTTATTCTTCCAGCAATTATCTATTGGCACCACATAAACATGGCCTTAACCTGACCAATGATTATCAGGTGCTTTCGCATATACTGGATTTGGGAAGCTAATCAATATTAGCTAGCTTCATGTTAACATGACCACTCGGCAGCAATAAGTTCAATTATTGATTTATAATTTCTTTCAACAAATTATTCTAATTTGAATACTAGGAATAAAAATGCAAACAGAGCTGACAGCAGGCAATAAAATCTGCACAAGTAATGCTAGCACGTGGGAAGAGTTTTAACATCATCGGAGCCAGTAAAAGTGCTAACACTAGTCAAAAGAGATGGCAGGCAAAGTTTTACTCTACAAAGTGATTTTCTATTATAGAATTACCCTATACAAAAACAAAAGTAACAGCATATATTTATTACATATATAATTATAAGAGTTCTAATATCTTAAGTCATTGCTTGATAGTCTCTCTAATAAAATTAAAATTGAAAAATTCTTTAAAAAAGAGGTTATATTGTTTTACTTCTCATCTGCTGTTAAATTTTAAATCAAGCATTTTCTATAAAGTGTAACTTCTGACAACCAGCATTTAAATTTTTTTACTTAAAAAGGAATAAATTAACCTCAGTATAAGGAATAAAGTTTGAAAATAATTTAAAATTTTAATAAAAGAATTTCAGAAAAGTCACTTTGCTAAATTTCACATGAATTTTCAAGTTTATAAATTTTTGTCAATTATGCAGTAATTTTGATTAATGCCCAACTAATGAAATTTATTTTCAAAGCCATACTGAAATTATAATAAAACTAAGTTGTATCCCAGGCAGCACGTCTCCAAAAATATACGTATAATTTTGGTGAAATACGAGTATGGTATTTTTTGCATGTTACTTTTACGAAATTTATACGAATGAAAAAGGCTGACGTTACTGTTGACTCTTGATCGTTATTTTCCACACGTTATTTTTACGAAAATTATACGAATCCAAATGTACCGAAAAAAAACTAACGGCATAATGGTATATTTTATTCGTCACTTTTATCATATTATACGAATACGAATGTTCTGAAAGAAACTACTGCCTTTATGGTATATTTCATTCGTCACTTTTATGGATATTTACGAAGTCTAAAAAGATTGAAAATGAAGTTTATTAATTCAAAATATTTAGTATATTTCTGGCATTTCGTTTTCCTTTTCCACGAATATGAAAACGGGGCATTCATATATGAGGCTAAAATTTTTCTATGAATTTTAACATGTGAGCTAAATCTTTACATGCATTTTTGCAAAAAATTATATTTTCTTAATTTAAAGATCTTCAAAATAACTTATTTATTTTTTTATATCAAATTTGTTACTTTTATTCATATCAACACTTACATTAATTTACACAATTTAATTTCTTTTATGAAAATCCTATTACCCATTTAACTGGAATAAGCTGTGTATTAAATTTGTGTACTTGCTGAGTTTGGTTCAATACTCGCCTTATTTTATTTAGCAAATGTGGGCAATTAAATTGGAATAAGACTAGCAAATATTTCATGTCGAGGAATAGAATAATTTTAGGGAAATTATAAAAATTTAGGGAAATTATAAAAAAAAAAATGCAAAATATTAGGGTATTTTTTCGTTTCGCTGGCGCAAATCTTGCCAAGCAGACTTTATTGGCGACAACACACAGTATACACATAAAAAATGTTAACAAATGTTAGTTCTAAGAAATTTTTATTTTAAAGGCATAAACATTTTAATATCGTTTAAAATTTTGTAAAATGATAATAAATAAAGACAATAAATTTGTAGAAAGACATTAATTTGTATTTGTAAAAAGAGATTAATTTAAGAATTTACTGTGCTTTCATGGTACAACATTCTGATTCGCCGTTTCATATCACTTGACCTCAAGTGATCTCATCTCATGTTAAACTATGCTAATTCTCTCAGTAATTATCTACATTAATTTCAAGTTAAATCTTAATTTGGAATACAAGTTTAAATGCAAAAATTATTTCGTTTTGTATGAATAGCTTACTCAAATTATGTAAAACCGCAGTGCTTTACTTCACTAGTGCATTCTCATTAAAATTGATGAATTTAACCCTTGATTTTGCCTTTTCTATATTTTCGGGTGAGCGTGTGATTGCATCCTAATTGATTTAATTACCGCGAATGGCCTTAGGACATAAAATTGAACTATCTGGTAAACATTCTATGTAATTGTACCCCAGTATTGAAAGAAACATTCAGTCTGATAGAAATAGCTGCAACTTGTTTTGAAAATGAAACGTAAACGGTTACCAGCGAGGATATTCCGTTTGGCATCGGTCGTATCATTTTGGACGACTTTATCGCTTGTACTGGCAAAATGGAAAAGTACCAATATTGGTTTGACAAAGATAAGGTGTAATTGAATTTAATAAGTTGGAAATACTGTCTGTCTTTCCATGAGTTAAAAATAATTTCAAATAAAATTTCTCTTTTCAGTTTTTCATGTTATTTGTTTAATGTTATTGTAATCTGATTTATCATATTTAGTCACATATTCCATCCCTCTTTGCATTATAGTATATAATTCAAAGGACTTATCAGTTTCAGCAATATTTTTTTTTACCAGTATACATTTTTTTACCATAAGTCTGTTTCTAAATCATATCCTGAAAAATTAAGGAGTAAAGTACACAAAGAAGGAAAATATGCAAGTAAATAATGGCATTTAGTCTTGTTTATGTGTCTAATATTTGTACTAGATTGTAAAAGTTATAAAACTCTATTAGCTTTTATTCTTTTTTAAATTGAGATGCTTCTTTGCACCCAAATGGTTAAAAGCCTTCCAGAACTGGTACTTTGATCTAACTTCTATTCCTAATAAATAATCCAGCTGCATACAGTTTACTCAATTTCTGCATTGTGTAAGGTCAAGAGTATTAGCTTTTTTTAAATATATCTTTTACAACTATTCCATCAGGTAGATTTCTTTCATATTTTGCCTCAATTGAGTCATCGTGCTAATTAAGAATTTATTAAAGTTAATATGTTAAGCTAAAATTTGGTAATTGTTATTAGCTTTTAAAATGCATAAATTTACTGGAACTGTTTTACTTAAATTTTTGAGTATATAATTCGTTTTAAGTATGATCAAGCAAATGCATACATTAACAGTTATGTAGAAACTTTGGGTATCGAATTCTGAAATTTTTGGGCTGTTTTTAGACGATTTATTAATGACTTATACGATATTAATATTGGTAAAAAAATTCTGAGGCTTTTATATGAGAGTGTATATGTTAAAATAGCTGCGTGAGATGGTAGAGGTGGTAG